CGCGCGGAAATTTGGATCCCGGAAATGTAATGAAAGGCCCCGTCCCTTGTAAATCCATCTCCCAACACAAAAAAAGAGGGGTGGTGAGCGGATCGAAGGTTGGGTGAGGGTGTCGCGAACCGTCGTCGAAACCATCTACCTTGAAATCCTCCAGCGCACCTTCAATCCCAAAACCAAGGCCCTTCCAAAACATAACTTGTTACCCAACAGCCGACTAATGCCCAAGGGCTCAAGCCTTGGGTTCAGTATCTATCTATCCATCAATCTATCCGTCTATCTACCTATCTGCCTATCTACCTATCTATCTATCTATCTATCTATCTATCTATCTATATGGACCTTTGCCCAAGTCAGACAAAACCCGACAGAAACCGTTCTGATAGCCCTACAGCAAAGCTATAAACCCCCATAAGCCCACAAACCCTATAAACACCTTCGTAAGACGCTATAAAGCCCTCCTCTCATACTCATACCCTACGAAACCCATGCAATGCCCTCGATACCAAAATCAAACCCTAAAAAAAAGCTTATTTCAAACAAAACAAAAAACCCAGCCGCACGCCGACCTGCTAATCTTATGAAACCCGAAAACAACCCTTCCAGGCAAACCCTTCGTATAAAGCCCTATAAAACGAATTAGAGGCCTGACAAACACCCTCAAAATCCTCAAAAAAAAACATGTCAGACAAAATCTTGTAAATACCCTATAAAACCCTTACAGAGACACAAAACCTAAGACAACATCAAATTTGAAAAGAAAAAAACTCAATAGCTCCAGACCTGCTCACGTGTCGCCAGCGGCCGTTGCTCGACTGCTCGCTGCTGCTGCCTTTGCATACGAAGAGGGGTAGGGTTTAGGGTTAGGGTCTAGGGTTTAGGGTTTAGGGTTTAGGGTCTAGGGTCTAGGGTTTAGGGTTTAGGGTTTTGGGGTTTTTGTATGGTGCATGTACCTTTCTACAGTCTGTTCGGCCTTTGGGAGGTTCCTTTACAGTCACTTCAGGAACTTCAGCAGCAACATAATACCGACATATATGTAGATGACCCCATATATATATATATACATATATATATATGTTGGGTTGAGTTGAGTTGAGTTGTGGACAGTCGAACGTCAGGCTGCGTGTTGCAGCGCGGGGACGTGCGTCCCAAAAATCTTGCACTAAATTCAACAGGGTGAAACGGGTCTCTTCTGCCAGAAAGCGCAAGCGGTCTGCCGAGGAGCTTCTTTGCTACGTCCTGCAACATGTGCTGTAATCCAGCGGACATCCTCATCGGAGGGGAGGAAGGGACGAACTAGTGCGGAGACCACTGCGTCCTCCGTTGGATCGGGATCGTAAGCACGCTCTTCGGCTGTCGGAAGCCGGGGCCCAAACTCGATAGGAGCCCGTCGGGGAGGCCCACTACAGGCGAACTGTTCCCACTTTCCGGCAAGGACAGCTTGGCGTCGCTTCTTCTCCGGGCCTTCTATCTCGCGGATTTCGCATACACTGAGGGGCCGAAACAAGTAGAGGCAACGCAAAAGACAAGCTGTCGACTGCTTCAAGTGCTGCTGCACCTGGCTTATCTTCCCATAATGGCGCATACAGACCTCGCATCTGGGGCCTATGGCGTAGTGTCTCGCAGGGCTGAAAACGGCATGAGACTTTGCCAAATGAGCATGCAAGTGCTTCCTGAGGGGGAAGGATGCTTGACACAAATGGCAGGCAAAAGGGGAGGGCACTTGAGGCTGTAGACGAGCAGGAGCGCTCGACTGTTTCTGTTGATGCCAAGTCTCAAGATCGCTTTGAAAAGCCTTTTGTGCTTTCTTGACCTGCCGAGGCCACCACCTCACATCTTCGGCATAGGAAGATAGCAAATCGGGGATTGTATCCTGTTCGCTAATGCAGTCCTTGACGGAGGGGACATATTGCAGCACACACTGCCAGTCCTGTCGAAACTGGGACATCCAAGCCGTGCGCGGATGTAGCTCCCAATGGTCAAACAGAAGTGCGAGCAAAGCGGCGGGACCATTGGTGTACAACTTGGCAAGCAGTGCTGCGCGGGCTTGTGCTAAGGCAAGAGGCGGAGCCGATGCTTGCCCGACTCGCAACACTTCATAGTTGTGGGCTTGCACGTCTGCCGCAGTGCGTGCTGTCAAAGAGCGCCATAGGTGCAGATACTGCTTCTCCCACACTCGCACCTGTTGAGCTGTATTGAGGATGAGCGCCGAGGCCGTGTGGACATAACGCGAGACTGCCAAGGACTGCAAAAGAGTCTTCCGGACATTCACATCAAACCGCCTCGTCCCAAAGAGTTTTTTCCGAAGTGGCCGGATGACTCCCATGGCGTTCGAAAACCTCAGGTGGAGGTCTGGCAGAGGGTCACCATTGGCGGTGACAATGCCTCCTAAGTGGCGGTAGGCCGCGACAACCGGGAGAAAAACCACCTCTCTGGAGACCGAATCCTCAAAGGCCAAGCCGGATTGGCCTTTGGAATTGACATCAAGAAGTGGAGAGGTGACAGGTACGGTAGCCGGTAGCAGGACAGAGGTCTTATCCGTACCGTACTTGACTGTCATTCCCAGACTGGTGGCATGACTTGCAAGAAGTGTAGCGCTGCGGCGAACTCTCTGGATGAGCTCTTCATCGGTCCCTGCTGTCTGAGGGAAAAAGAAGTCATCGGCCCAGGAGGGGCACCCCAAATCCACCGTTCCCTCATACGGAATGGAATGGTGCCGCGCAGAGCTTTGAGGGATGTCTGCTTGTAGATGTGCCTCTGCAAGAACGGTGGTCACATGTCGCACAAAGGCAGTGAGAGTAAACGCAAACAAGATGTCCGCGGTGGGATCGCCTGGTCGCGTGCCACGCTTGGTGATGGTGAGCATGCTGTGCCCCGATAGCCTGAACCAGCTGCCTCGGAACATGTCAGCGATAAGGGCACGCGTGTGTTCACTAGCACCGGCACGCTCAAGTTCGGCTGCCTTGGACAAGTGGTGCCTAAGTTCTTGCACTGCCTCATTGGGGAGACGCAGCTGGCTGAAGAGCTGTAATAGCGCCTGATCACTTTCTTGATTCTGAGTGAGCAGTTGGCGCAGGACCTGATAGAAGGCCGCACGCAAGTCAAAGAAAATGATAGCAGCCCGTCGATTGGCCGTGTTGCAAAGCCGAAAGAAGGTCTTGGCTGTTAATGCAACAAACTCGATGCCTTGTCCTGGAAGCACACCTCCTTGAAAGGTGGTCCGGTGATCGGCAAAGGCCGGCTGCAGTTGCTCTCGCAAGCACCTATGGTAGACTTTGGCTGGCACGGACGAGATCAGGATAGAGCGGTAACTCTCACAGGTGAGAACGCTAGCAGCACGTTTGGCGAGGAGGATCAGGTCTCCCCCCCTAAAGGTGACAGGTTCCCGTGCCCGAAGGGCTGTCTTAGCCAAAACGGGCAGGAGATGTCTGGCCGTCTGAACGGCACTGGCTCGCAAGAGTTCGCCTGTGATCCCATCACAGCCGGCAGCTTTTCCACGCTGCAATGAATGCACAATACGTTCTACCTGACCAAGTGTGGGGACAGCTTCAACGGAAAAGCGCCAGCCGGAGATAGGCTGGTAGGAAGCAAAAGAAGCGACATACTCCGCAGCGGTTGCTGCATGACCAGCTTCCTGCGAAGCAAAATGCTCTCTCCAGGCCTCCGCTCGGTCCTGTTGAGTTTGTGCCGCTGTGCCATC